TGGGTATGGTAATACAATGTGAAGCGTACAGACAAGAATAACATGTGAGCTAACTGCATTCTGCTCAGACAACAAAAGAAAAAAACCTTTGCGTATTCTTCTTCTTTTTTTTTTAACCCCGCCGTTCAGAGAAAAGGGAGAAAAGGAAGGAAGTGGGAGAAGGGTACGCGGCTACAGACTACTCCAGTGTCCAAGATAGACAGACGACAAGATACAGAGGAAGAGAAGCAAGACAGAAAATATTCTTTTTTTTTGTTTTTAGGTTTTGTCTTTTTTTTTTTACGTCTTTTCTTAATAATTCAACAATAAAAAGAGGAACTAAATCACACCAATTTCCTTTAGTACTATGTATACTGCTTGAAAAAGCTCTGAAGAATAGGAAGAGAAAGATACAGAAGAAGCATGAAGGAGGGGACTTTTTTTGAGATGGGCACTCAGGATTACAAGATGGAATCTGTGAACAAAAGGCACTTTTTAGGGACAACCTTTAAAGATGCTCTGAGTCTATAACACTACATCACCAAACAAATATTTATAATCATTTACAGCGGGGAAGGGGATTGGGGGAGGATGGTGGTGTGTGTGTGTGTGTGTGTGTGCATGTGTGTGTGGAGGGTTGGGATAGGGGGGTAGGGTTCACATTGTTGGTAAATTGATGACAGCACCCCCCCCCCCCCCCCCAGCCAGACAGAGGCCGCTGATTCCCTCTTTCTTTCTTTCTTGTTTAAACAAGTAGACATTTACATTAAAAAACCAAAATAAAATAAACATTTTCTTTAATTTCTATGGACGTCATCATCGGTGGTTTGGACTGGGGAATCCGTACTTGTGCATCTCCCAAAAATGGGGAAGATCTTGTCTTTGTCCCACGCTAGATGTGCTGGACATAACATGATGGAGAAGAAAAGAAAGAAAAGAAACAAGATCTGACGTGATTTTCATTTTTTCCCTGTTTGTTTGTCCTGCAGTGGCGATAAAGTTCGGGGAGGAAAAATGCCTTTTGTCCTACAATGAACCTCTCACCCCCCCGCCCCCCTCCCTCGGTAAATACAAAAAGAGAAATAGAATAACGCACACTTTCCTAAAATTTGCTTTTTATGATAACACTTAGTTCTTGTTTATTATTATTTATGTATAATAGAGACTGAATGTACTTTATTCTTTTACGAAAGCACCAGTTGTCATAGTGATATATATTTTACGAGTTGCAAAATTGTTCCTTCAGCCCTCCCATGGTTTTTGAGAACAAATGAATAGAAATGAAGTTTTTAAAAATGAACAAAAAAATGTAAAATAATTTCCCCAAACTTACTTACAAAGACTGGGATTTTTTTTCTGGCTGCTCTCATATTTAGAGTCCCGGAGCAGGTGGACTTTAAAACAAACAAAAGCCCCTCCCCCCCAAAAAAGATAAAACAAAGAAAAAAGAAGAGGGTTTCCCTCTTTCTGTGTGACACCCTCAAACAATCGCTAACAAACAAACACAATTCCTCTACCAAGGCATTGCACATGGCTCAATCAACATACATCATTTAGTTTCAAGAACAATACTTCCCATCAAGACACGAAAGAAAACAACAAAACCTAATCTGCTTTATCTTTTAACCTCAACTACGTCATCATCACTTGTTGTCTATGTATCTACTGTTGTGTTTGCCGTCCTTTAGCTTTATGTCCTGTAACGCGGGTGCGAGCGGGTTTACAAACTGGTACTTTAGCTCAAATCAGCTTTTTCTGTGTGTGTGGTTTTTTTCTGAGATGCATCCTATGACTGTGCGATGTACGCCATGCTTCAAAAAATAACTAGACTGCCACAGAGCTTATCTTGCAAATAAAAAAAGTATATATCTATAAATATATATGTGTATTATATATAAAGATGCTTGTGATTATCTAGTGAGCTGTCAACGTGTTTTTTTCTCCCCCTACTGACATAAATGTTTTTTCCACCATTCACTATAGCTTATATGTGAGAAAAAGAACCTGAATTCATGTTTGACAAATTGCATAATGGGAATACAGAGGCACTTCCATAGATTAGAAAAGAAATCACCTTTAGCCGTCGTTAATGTCTTACTCAGCGGAGCTAGATCTTTCTACGAAGCTGATGAGATGATCGCCATCGATTGGCCAGCTATGTCGCGCTTTTCCCTGCAGTGAAGAACGTGGCCAGGCAGTCCAGTTATTTTGTGAGGTTGGATGGGTGATTAGCTTTTTAGTAGGGCTAAATTTGTGGGCTGATTCTTTATATAGTTCTAGATAATGATTGAAAGCATAAAGGCCTCCTCAGATTGTCTATCTTTAAGACTTCCCTTTGAATTGAGTCGGGCACGGGGGACGTGTTAGTAGTGAGTGGTCTTCGTAAGTCTGTGTGGAGTTTTTTTTTAAAGAAGTGGCGATCTGTGCTCTACAAGTGTGATTCCATCCCAGTAATACATCCACTGATTTGCAATACTAAGTGGTGGTCGATCTATTGTAACCATTACAAAAAAAGTCTGATAAGGTTGGCTGGCATGATTGTATTAGTGCAGTTTTTTGATCTATAAGGGCTCTTCCATTCACCGTAGCTCAGTGGGAGTGCTGGTGCGTGTGTGTGCGTGTAAGTGTGTGTTGTGGGAATGCTATATCCAACACTACCAAGCAGCCTTTACCTGATCCTGTGCACCGGCGTTTAAACGGGCACACCCGTGATCCGTCCTACTGCTAAGCCTCGGCTCTCGTCCCCTCTCCAAAAACAGCCAGATATGTCACATATTCATTTTGCTCCGCAGTGTGGCCCCCTCTGCTCTTGGAGCAGCGGCTCGTCTGGGAGTGTAAACAACAGGGTAAACTTTAGGGAGACAGAAAGAAGAGCTACTCTCTCCTTAACTCTGGGTCCCATCTTCAGCAACCTTCCCTCCTCAGATCTGTTTTCTATCACTCGTACATCCCCACCAGCAGCCACTAGCTGTACCTGGATCCAAATAGTAGGCGCGACTATTTTGTCTTCTTCCCCTGACCGTTATGGCCGAGCAGGCGATCTCCCAGAAAAATAAGCTTCCTGTGATTGTCAAAACCCTGCATCGTGTTGTTCTACAGGAGACGTTCATCTGGAAAATATGCTTGTTCGATGGGTCACCTTCACATGAAGCAGCTAGGTGGCTCTGTTCAAAGGTAACGAGGGTCCCCGCATTCGTGTGAATCTTACTGCCTTCACCCCAAACAGTCGCCGAGGTTTCCTGGTTCTGCTGGAGGTTTCTTCCTGTTAAAGGGGAGTTCTTCCTTGCCAGTGTCACCAAGCACTTGCTCACAGGGGTCATGCGATTACTGGGGTTTTCTCTGTATCATTGCAGGGTCTTTGCCTTAAAATATTCAGCACCTTGAGGCAATTGGCATTGCGATTTGGCGTTATATAAATAAAATTAAATAAAATTGAATTAGTCAGGGTAGTTCCAATGTACTAGAATCAGGATAAAAGCAAAGTGAAGTGTCAACTAAGGAAATATATGCTCCACCTCTGGTGGACAGTGAGGCTAGAGCGGAAGTGCTGAAAACCTGGGCTTTTTCTAATGGCCAGCAGGGGGCGACTCCTGTTTGCAAAATCTGATTGTATCCAAGTCTATGAGGAAACGATCCTCCGTATCACTTTCTGACCTCAAGAAGTACTTTTGTAATGAATTCATGGTCTCAATCGCTAAACTGACGTCTTCATTGATATAAACTCTGAATTTCTAGTGAAGCAGTCATGCTTTTGCATGTGGCTGCCCTGTGTTCCTGGGTTTTAAGTCAAAGCCACAGTTAGCTTAACATATACAATCAACACTAGTTACCCAGTGGATTACTTTCAAATGCTTTGTTCTTTCTAGGATTCTCACAGTAACGGTGTTTTCATATGACACTGCATTGCAAAGCTACAAAACGCCTGAGCTGCCGTCTAAACCGTCGCAGAGTTGATTTCAACATTCCTAAAAAAATGACCAAACGGGTTTCGGGTCTAAACCCTCTTAAAACTGCTCATATTCTGCACGGATACGTCGATATAAAATCATCATATAATCAAAACGGTCACTGGGGGTGCAGGTTTGGTGGTTTTATTAACTTTGGACAGAACCAAGCCAGCTAACCTCAGCTAAGCCAACCAGCTGTAGTGGTATCAATCAACTCATCTCAACTCCCTGGAAAAAGAAGCAAATAAGCATATTTCCCAAATGTTTTTGCAAGCGCTACTTGATCTGGGTAAGCTAACCACCCTGTCTCCACTGCTTCAACATACCGCTTCTGACTGTGTTTCTCTTTAAGGTGCTGTCATTCAAATACAAAACAATTATAAAATAGTACAAATCCAAAAGAGGAATAAATTCAAATAAGAGAACACACGAGAGATAATAAAATCATTCATCTACATTACATAAGGGCAAATTGGGAACCAATAGCTGCTGCCTGTAGCTGTGAAGCTGTCAGTAATTATATAGTCACACTGCGATTTTCAGTGTGTGTGTGTGTGTGTGTGTGTGTGCACAATGTTTGGATATCTAATTAAGGTAGAAAGACTTCACTGGGCTTAAAAAAATAAGAATGAAATAACACAACACCACCACCTATAAATACTACAACCTAAATGTGAGACTGGGCACGTGTGTGTGTGTGTGTGTGTGTGTGTGTGTGTGTTTTCATACATGCTGTGGTCATGGCACAGACTGAGTGATTGTTCTGAATGTGGGGAGACATGAGAGTGAGTGGAGGCCAATGATCTGTCGAACTGAAAGATGGGGGCTGAGGACTTGTGAAGGCTTCTTGTACCTCAGGTTTGTTTCCTCTTTAAAACTTTTAAAATAGGCAAGTCTGGTTTACCTCCCATGCCTTGTAGGTAAATAGTGCACATCTTTAAGATTAGTGTTAATTGATTCAGCTTGTAGTGCAACCCTTAATCAAGTTTTGGCATGGTCACTAGTTAGTAGTAGGGTGAAAGGGGCTATTTTAGGTCATTCAGAAGGATAGAAACATTGGTCATTTGGATTTTGTTTTGAGTGATGACAGACATCACAGGAGCGTGGACTGCAGCTTTCCCTGGAAACCGAATTGCTTTGATTAGACTGTGACTTGAATTTGTATTTGCTAGACAACTGATTTTTCTAAGCCATTTGTTACACAATGCGTCTTTATAAAGTAGGAGAAGCCGACGGTTTTCATCCTCAGGTTCCTCCTGCGCTGCTGTGCTGGTTCGGTGGTTTGAGGAGAGATGCCTCCTTGCTGCTGCCGTCCCCTTACCCCCCCTTCTCCCTGTCATCCCGGCATCCTCTTGTCCATCTATTCGTCTTTCAACGTATCCATCTTTGCTTGAAACGGGTCCTGCCTCTGACTGTGTGTAAGTAAGTCCAGAGTTCCACTAAAAGCGTCATGCTGCTGTAATTTCCTGCGTTGCCTGGTTACATTTTGTATCAGGTGAGACATACTGTCAGGGCCAGTCGGTGGGTGGGTTGGAGGACAATTATTATCCTGCGGGTTGTTTCTCTGGTTCTTTTTGTGTTTTTTGTTGTTGTTTTTCTATTTCTGATTGCAAAGAAAGAATTCTAGTTGCTGGTTTGCACACAGATCTTGTCAGAGGAACCAAGACTGAAAAAGAAAAGAGAGGGAAAGACGGGATGAGATTATGTTAGTAACAAAAATAGTAAACAGCTTAAATAAACTTTATGTGCACAAAATGTGACCCACTATGTTTGTTCAAAATAAACTGGGATTACCACTTTGCAGCTGCATGCTTCCACCAACCAGTGAAGCTGCAGTTTACCTGCGTGTCTGACTCTTTACTGTTGGCCACCAAAGGTTAGTGCAGTCATTTCAGCCTCCTACCAAATGTTAAACATCACCACAATCTTCTCTCTGTTTCTCCGTTATGGCATCAATCCGATTGTTCAGTCTGACGTCACTAGCCGTGTCTGCGCCTAAACTCCGCTGCAGGTCCATATATCAAACGATCACTGTGGCATTACTGAGAGTTGAAAAACTGTTTAAAGTCTTTCATCTTTAATAAAATGATCAGCGTTCTGCTCTACCAGGTGTAACAATTGAGTTTAACATCCAGGTATCCATGAAAATGGAATTTATGACATTTAACAGAGTTAGAAGTTAGCAGGGAGTTAGCTCGTTAGCTTCTATCTAAATACAATATAGCATGTCCTGACTGCAGGGTTTTGGAAACAAATTCAAACGTACAGCTCTGTTATCACTTCCAACATAAATGAAGACAGAAAACTAAACAGCAGTGACGTTTGTAGGGTTACTGAAGTTGGGCTTGCTGGTATATAATGATGTGCTACGTGACCGCTAGCGACACAGCTATGTTAGCATAATATAAACAAGCTAACTTTTTTTCCACTGGATAAAAGTTAACGTGAGTGTTCTCGGTGATCAGGAACAAATGTAATCGCATGGCAGGATGCTGTAAAAGGACCAATCTTCAGCCAGGAGAACAACTGAGATAATCCATCCACAACACGAGGTTAGTCATTCATATACTGCTGCATGGGCTGGGCTGTAGTTACATCCTAAGGTTTTAAAAACTGAGCTTAAATAAATGATTAGTGGTAATAAAAGCCGAGGGAGGTCAACAGTGATCACTGACTGTTTTAGGAGCTTTTTGAGATCAAATAGAAGAAAATACAAAACATTAAACATGTTAACAACACAAAAGCCATATTAAACGCAGACTACTTTAGACCTGGAAGTAGGATTCGTCGCGTCATCACTGAACAACCGGATAATGCCCATAAATGTGTTTGAAGAAAAATATGATGATATCCTTTAACCTGTTTGTTATGAAATGCTATCATCTTTTATTGTAACACACTGGTGTGAAAGTTTGTCATAATCTGAGTAAATACACAAGAATTTGCACCAAATCCAAATCAGTTCATCCTTTAGTGTAAGTGAACATTCCTGCCAAATTAAAGGTGTTTTCTGACATGAGGTTGCTGTGACCTTCACCTCGGAGCATGGATGATCAACCTGAAAACAATCCCTGTAGCCACACCTGTCACCAGCTGTATAAAGAATGCCCATCCAAAGAGCAACTGCACCACAAATGGTTTCTGAAAATGTCTGCACACCGTGTTGGCTTTTGGCTTCAGGGGGTTCCTCTAGTTTTTAAATACAGTGAATGACAGAATTGTCATCTGGGCCTCTAGCCCAGCTTATTACCATCGAGTCTGTTCATTTCTGGAGAGAAGTACAGTATGTCTTGAATTTGGCTGAGTAGTTAATAGCTCCTAATAGCCAAGCAGCAGCAGGGAGATAGCAGTCTGGCGCTCTGTGTCACTTGCGCCTTCTTCACGTTGAGTTTTCTTCTCCTCAGCATGAGCAAGGAGCAGAAATGGGTCACCGCCACTGTTGTTGGCTGCCCTGCTTGGCCTCCAGGATCTGGCACTGTGGGCTGGTGCACCAACATTCTAGAAGTCAAGCCTTGGAAACTACTCTGCGCCTCCAGGGAAGCAGCCTTTTGTTTTGTTTGACTCTAACAGGTCGCATGAATACCCCCCTGCCTCCCTCCTGCCTCCTGCCCTTCTCAGCTACCCTACTCCCCTTGGGCACGGTCCCAGCAGGCCTTGGGCATTGTAACTTCTCCCTTCTTAGTTACTCTGTCCCTCTGTGTATGTGCTTACAGACACACACAATCCATCTATCTCCCGTGAACACTCCCACTAAATCCTTGGCAGCAGACAGTGACCACCCTCTTTTCTTTCCTGCCCCCCTCTCGAGCAACCCCTTCTCAAATTCAAGATCAACTGGCTATGACATCATGTCTGGTTGCCGGGGGTAACGAGACGGCCAGGACGTGACTTCTATAGGGGCCGAAACTCTCTGTTGCTCTGTTCCCTCCATTTCCCCTCTCGCCTTGCCCTGCTGGTATCTAGTTTCTCGTCTCGCCTGGATGTAGCACCCAACGTTTGCCACTAGAGGGAGGACAAAGCCCAGCGCTGGTCCTGAGCCGCCACAGGCTCGTTTTTGAGAGGATCTTTGTTTTGTGATTGATCTTTTAGTTTTAAAGTGGACCATTAATCTTTTCATGTCACTGCAGAGACACGTGTAAACAGTTGGTGCCGTGTGTGTTTTAGCTACGCATTGAAAAGTAAAACCATATTTCAGACAATTTGTCCTAGTCGGTACAGAACATCTCAACTTTTCTATGAGACACATAGCCAGAAGTTTTTGGTTACCTCTGTCCAAATACATCTGTGTTCTTGGTGCTATATTTTTTTAATGTTTTTATGGTTTAGGCCTAATGAAACCAAAGACATAGCGGTAAGTAATATTTTTGACAACAATGTGTTGGCAACAGTTTGGGGAATCCGATATTTTGCTACACACAGAGCCAGATCCATGAAGAAATAGTTTTAATGTGAATTAACTTCACTTGGCGTTAAGGGGAACTCTGACTGCAAGTCTTTATTGCCTGAATTCAGTGCTTTAACTCACAATAATGGCCTTGTGGTTAAAGAGCAGAGGCAGTTAGAGGAGCAGATTAATACCCACGGATCTTGAACCTGATGTTTAACAATTAAATACAGTTTGTATGTGATGTTCGCGTGTCCACACAGTTTGGCCACATGATGTGTGCAAAGTTCAACTTCCAAGAAAATAGAAACAACTTAGAGTTAAGCAACATAAACATTTCATCAGCAAAGAAAACGTTTATGAAGTGATGGAACAAAAAGAGATGAACAGTGAAGCAATGAAGGGCAAAGAGCAGAGTATAATGAGCGGAGGGGCAGAAATGGAAAGGGAGAAAAGAGAGAGAACAGAGGGCAGAGAAACAAGGGAGGAGATCAGCAAAGCAGTTTCAGATGGTTTCCATGTGTCGACGAGTGGAGCTGAGCTGGCTCCAGGCGGGTGTGGTTGGACATTAATGAGAAAAGTACTGGTGGTAATGGAGGAGGCACATGAATGAGGTGCAGGGTGGTGAAGGGGAGGAAGAAAGAAGGTGAGAGAAGGAGAAAGTAAAAGGCAGAGAGTGAGCAAAGTGTGGTAAAGCTAAAAGGACGGAGAAAGTGAAGTAGGAAAAAAAAGGGGGGGCAAGAGGAGGGAAAGGAAAGGAAGCAAGTAGAGAAAAAAAAAGCTGTGAGTAAAGGAGCCTGAAGGGTAGGCTCCATATGTGCCAAATAAACAGTTGAGCACATATGGTAAACCACACACGTACTGTAAAATACAGATGTACAAATGCACACATTGATGGCGAGCTGTGGGATGGTGCGAGAGAAGAGGTGGAGGAAACCGTGCAGCAGGTTTCAGGCAGTGAGGGAATAAGAAATATTTTGGCGTACATCCACGCAGTTAATAAGTTTCCAGAGTTTGACCAGTAATTGCAGCGAAAACAGCTGAGTTTCCTCCTCACTCTCCTACAAAGCAAGAAAAACTGCCAGTATATCACCCAACTCCTACCTGTGTCTGCTGCGGGATGTTCAGAAAGTTGTTGTCCCGTGATCCGATGCCGACAAACCTGTTGGGAGCTGTGGCGCCTGGCGTGGAGTATGCTACGGAAACAGAAGGAGGACAGAAAATCATCAGTGCCAACTAAACAGCTAGCACTGCAACCTCTCATGGAGTGTTAACTGGAAAGGTGCAAATTCTGGGAAGTAAATGTGTACACTCATTTTATGAAAGTACAGTGAAGAAAGGTGTTCTACATTCATGACTGTAGCTACCTGCTTGTTTAGCTTAGCATAGCATTAAAACTGACCATAGGCTGGATAAAATGCGATGAATGTAGCCACAGTGACACCACTTATTGGGTTGTAAAGCACTCTTTTAAAGCTCCAACAATATCTTTTTGTCTGCTCCCATGTTGTTGTTGTTGTTTTTCTTTTAGAAACAAGTGACTACACACGGCTGAGCATAGAGTGCTAGCTTATCAGGTAACGCTAGCAAGAATGCCTTGGCTAGCAAGCGGCACCCATTAATATTACAATTTCTCTCTATCTGTTTAATTCTTAATGATTTTTAAAAAGAGTACAATTCACTCTTCATTTAATAATTATAAAATAAAGACAGGACCCATTTTTTTCAAGACTAAGGAACATGGACATCTATGGGTTTAGCTTGTTTTTGGAGTCAGTTGTTTTCTGGCACTTTAGTGTTGACTTTATTATGCGTTTTTGTTTGTTTGTTTTGTTTTATCTCTGCAGGTTGATACTTGACTAAATAGCTAGCACAATCCAAAGTTAGCAAAACCACTGGAGCCAAAAAAACTAAACAAAAACAAAACATAGCCATACCTGTTGAAAACCGAGATTCTAAATTAAGCAAACTGACGTTACCTTCATGTGATTGAGCGATTTAAATGTTTTAAACTTTTTCTTCTTCTAACTTTGGCAAAAAAGCAAATCATTGTAAATGGTCATTGCTTCAACATGAAATGGCATATATTAAACCTAATAGATTTTAGGAAACAGGCGCTTGCTTCTACCGAAAGTACAGCTATACATCATTGAGGTCATTAAGACCCCATGGAAATCTGGCATGCAAACTCAGATCTCCCCGGGTGATTAAGGATACTTGATAAACTTCGTTGGAAGCGATTATGCACACTGAAATTCTGACACTGAGGAGTCAGGGACATTTAAAACCCAGTGGCATCAACGTCTCTGACAAATTTAGGGCAGTTTGAGGTACCCTACGGACTCCAGAATCTGAATCTCACTGAGGCATTCAGAGATGTAGTGTGTAGACTTGTGCATACGTGTGTCTGTTTGAGTGGAGGAAAGGGAGGACAAGAATGAGAGACAGGAAGGAAGATAGATATACATCCATGTGTTTCTAAGAATTGGAATAACATAGATAAGACATAGAAGACTTTGAGACGCTGACTGGGGGTAAAACAAAAACACTATATTTGAAGGAGAGCTAAAAACAAACAAAAAAAGTGCTCCATCCAGTGCCCCTCCTACCACAGGTGAGAGAATGTACTGTATGACTGACAAAAATTTAAATGCACACCCTGTTCTTGCTCTCTAACAACTACCATGCAACAAAAGAAGCTAAAGCAAAAGAGGTACCGGTAAGTTATTCCATAAGGTGTCCCAATCTCTACTGGAATGTTCTTGGAGTCCATATAAATTAACTGCCCTAAATTTGTGCCCTTTCATAAGCAACAATAAGTTGAAAATAAAAATCTTCTTACGAGGTTTAGCGATGTGCCCAGAGAAGGAAGAAAAGAGGATTTAGAAGTAGAAGAAGTGGAGCGGTGATGTAGCTTTCTCACACCAGGCCACGCAAAATGGGTTCAACATGTAGAGCTCCTGAAACTCATGGGACCTAATACAGAACCCTGATGAATGCCACCCAAGTCCATAATGAAGACTACTTTGAGCCAAACCTTTGATGGCCTTGATCTACTCTATTATGCTCCACAGTATATTCTGTGCTTGCTGTTATTGCCTTCCACGGGGCTAGGGAGATGCGATGCTGGATACACAATGATGGGGCGAAGTTGGAGGAAGAACACTGACAAAGGTCCTTTGTCTGGAGAGGGTTGGGATTTTCTGATTTGTTTTTTTATATTTCTTTTTTTTGGTGTTGGTTTGGTTTTGAGAACGGTCTCTGCGGGGTCACTTACACGGAGATGCGGGCGAGGAGAGTCCGCCGTCAGGGGGCGTGCTGTTGGGTTTAGAGTCGGGCATGGGAAGGGGCACTGGGCGGGCCACTGGGGGAGGTGGAGGCAGCAAGAAGGAGCCTGGCATTTTGCTCTGGCCGCTCCCGTTTGGCTGCAGACAACACAAATAGGGTCAGGAGGGCGACATGCGACAATCCGCAGACACGGAATGAAAACAGGACGCAGCTTGGGAGGCCAGGTCCAAAAAAATATCCATGACGGCGGGAGGAGGAGTGGGAGGGGGGGAGCGATGGTGGAAGGAGGAAGAGGAGGAGGGTGGGAAACAACAACCAAAGGAATGATGTATGTGGACGGCATCTTTCATGAAGGTGTGAAAAATAATAATCACCACAGGGTTTGAAAGGAGTAGGAGTTGGAGCTAAAGGTGAGAGGTTCCACAGGGGTGGTCCGTGTCGGGTGGAGGAGGAGTGGAGGGGGGAAGTGAGCAAACTGTTTGACTGGGTTCGTCCAGAAGATGGCAAGAAATCAAAACCATGGAAGGATACTCTTCTACACAAGCACAACACCACCAACAACAGCAGCACCAAACAACCAAAACTTCAACTAAAATCAGAACGGCTAAGAATGAAAACAGAAACACGATGACACAACACAGGGCGGGGATGCTTGACTTGAAGTGTGCCGTGACTGATTCATTCTCGTGCTGATGGTTATAATTTCTGAGGGGTTGGGTGGAGCAGAAGAAAGAAATAAAAAGAGGAGGAGGGGGAACGTCAGGGTCTGAAAGAGGAAACGGCAAAATGACATCGACAAGACAGTACAAAGATTTGTAGACCAGCTGAGTAAACGAATGTGACGTGTGCTGTATTTGTGTCGCCGTGGGTATATTTCCCTATAATGTAGGTGGACACATCGTCAAAGAAGCTCTCTGCCATTCCTAGTTTATTCAAAGTAATAGTATAATGGTTCATTCATGATTTCAAATTTAGGACCATAGTTACAGTTGAACTAGCTTTTAGACTTTTGAATATGTCATTAGATTCCAATGAGATCAAGATGTGCAACTACAACAAAATTTCCAAATTAAGACAAAAAGAAAGAGATTTGTATACGTCTATTCAAGCTGCTCAAATTCTCACCTATAAATCTATTAAACTAGTTAACTCCAAGCACCAAAATGACAGATGAAGGATTAAAACTACAACAAGCACTATTCTTGAATATGTATCACATCTGTCAGTCACATGATCCGAGAAAAAAAGCAAAAACCAACAGAACCTCAGGGATAATGTGCATACCTCTCATTTGGTGAACCTGACATCATGTTACGTTCTAATTAACTGAGAAAGACGAGCCACAAACACAGATTTCATTATGCACACAGCTTCCGTATGCTGCACTGTTTCACTAACATACGGTGGTCCCTCGCTATAACGCACTTCAGCTTTCGCGGTCTCGCTGTTTCACGGATTTTTTTGTGTGCAATTTTGCATTCTTTTTTTTTTTTACAGCGCATTGTGTCCTGCATCCTGATTGGCTGCAGACCATTGTCAATCAATCTCGTGCCGTGTCTCCTGCACAGTACAGAACGCGTTCAGCTTGTCAAATTTACATAAATCATGTTTACTTTCATTGGTGGCGGGTCTTACCTGTCCAGCGGCCTGCCCTGAGCCATCGGCACAGACAAACTGCACAAATTCCTTCAGGGGATCCTGTCCAGGGTGGTGGTGATAGCGGATGGTTGGGTGGGTGAAGTAGGGGCTAGACTGCTGGATGATGGAGGGAGACGGGAAGTGCAGGGCCGAGGCTGAAGCACGGGGGCTCCCTGTAAACACAGACGTTTGGTATTAGAGGAAACACGAGCAGAGGAAGAGCGGGACACGAACCGCTGAGTTTCTAAACATTCTTACAGATGGGAGAGATGAACTGAGCAACCACCAAATGATAGCAAGAATATCACATCACAACTGGAAACAATAAAACTTAAATCTGGTTTTAAGATGAAAGGAACTCGGTTTTTCTAGGAAAAGCTAATTTCGAGTTAATAGGTATTGTATGCATTGCTTATTTTTTATGACTCCTCCAGTAAACCCTTAAAGCTTTATTGAAGAAATTTATATGAAACGCTGCATTCAGATGAACACAATGAACTTTTCGGAAAGAGATTTTTACACACATATATTCACATCTGAACACTCACTGAGACAATGTAACAATTTAGGGCAACGCCGTTCAGACTGCACACACTTCTAAATGGCACAAATTCAGCAGATAAAAGCGCTGCATTTTGAAATCAGATCCAAAAAGCCTGTTAAAAAACACAAAGAGATCATTGAGGAGTGTCTTATATTAGCCTGTCTTAATGCCTGCGCTCCTGTGTGCTGTTTTTGAGGGTGTGATTCACTGGCGTTGATGCATTTTGGCATTTACATACTAAAGCCTTTTTTATCTGACACATTTTGTTTCTAAGACAGAATTAATCTGTAAATACTCTCTAAATCTGAGTTAATATTTTTTCTGCTAAATGGCTTGTGAGCTTTATATCTGTGTATGTGCACGACAGGTGCGGAGATGCAAAATATAACTGCAATCTGTGGCTAATAAGCTTACAGAAACAAAAACATTCTGTTTTTCACCAAAGAAAATAGTGAAACTCACACCAAACAGATGAATATATGTCTGAGGTGCGAAAGGGGAGCAGTTGGTTGAGCCCTACCACACCGAGCACAAAGCCCTCCCTGTCAGACTTATATCCATTACTAAATCTCCTTGTTTTGTATTAGTAGCCTGTTCTCTTAGCTGTGCCAGTTTAACACCCACCCCATCCCATACAGGCCCCCCAGCTGCCCACGTTGGGCTGCCAATGCTCTTTAGTGCTTGCATCTTATACATTGTGTGTGAGTGCACTTCATAAGGGTGCCAACCCTGCTGCATTACCCCCCAGACAAGGGCCTATGCTTCAGGGCCCAGCAGCACCTTGCTTCCATGCCAGGCTGCCTGCTCCCAAGTGAAGCAGTCGCCCTGCTCCTATAGTCGCATACTAATCCCATTAGACACTGGGTGAAGGCCAAATGCTGGGGGTATGGGAGTATGGATGGGGTGGTGGTGGTGGCCCCTTCATACTTTCACCTTCTTTTGATTCCCATCATATTTGCCTTTGAACTGCCAAAGCCCAACGAGCCCTTCACTGATACCACCTGACACGTCACAGAGGTATTAAGAATGTTAAGATATTAAAATATTGCTAAATAAATTCATTATAATCCTTCTTATACAGTTGAAATATCCGTGTTTGCTTAGTTTCTAACCGTGCTATGCTAATATCCAGGGTGGTAGAAGCTGGACATTTAAACCAAACGGTCACTACTTGAAGGCTAATATTTATCACTTAACCTCAGCTGTTTTAAAACGTTTCCTTTACTTTCAGCTAATGGTGGAAACAATTTATTCATTTCTTTTAGATAACAGATATACATCTTTGTAGGCATTCCACTCATTATTGCACTACTTTAGCTAACTATTTTACAACGTCAGCCAACTAATCTTTGTTACTTTCAGCTAGCTGTGTAAGAATTTATCATGTATTTAGCTTTGTTTAATTTTTTAACATTTAGAAATGATTTTGAGCTCTTCCAGCATTTTAGACATTCCTGCTAGCTAAGTGTTTCAAATACTTTTTGAAACTGTACATCCAAACTGTCTGTTACATACACTATAATTTGTTTGGTTCATCTGCTAACTAGCACATAGTCCTTCAATACAAACACAGATTTTTTTATATAGGGAATTTGCAAAAAACAGTGGAACCATGGCTGACGTGGCTGAAGGAAGAGACTCCATGAAAGCCACCCTTTAGCACCGTTGCTGCTATGAACAGCTGGGCCCTGCATGCTCCTTATTCCCACTTTCAATCCTTTAAATCTCTTGGATCTTGTCTTTTACGTAGAATAACAACAATGCTGATGATGTGGTAACCACTTTCAAACTAGCATGGCAGCATTCCCAGTGTGCACGCTGCCACAGTTTGTATAAAAAAACAAATCCCAAAGTGTGTAACTTAGAACCTCTGGCCACCGCAAGGATGGGATATTGTATACATGTGTGCACGATGGTGTGAACACTAACAGTGCATGTATGTGTGTGTGGAGACTGGATTTGCTGTAGTCACATCTCAAGAGGTTCTGTCAACAAGCGCTGAGTAGGGTTTAATGACATGGCGGTCAACCTCACATCTGCTCAGTGACTAAAAAATCCTTTGATGTAGCGCAAGCACAAGGGTAATTATCTCCAGTGAGCTCCTTTACTTTGTGAATTTAGAAAAGTACATAAAAAAGAGAAAGTCTCTAATTTGATCTGTACTGGTAAAAATTATGATTTCTGTATTTATATTTGGAAGCTCTTTAGCTCCACGTGTAAATAAAGTGGCAGGGTTTAAAGATTGATCTGGTACACAGTAGCTCAGACTCAAAACATCACTTTGTGGCCGTGCTAGTTTGAATTACGTGTTCAACCTGGACTTCCCAAACTGGAAAGGGAAGCAAATCAATAGGAATTTCAAGAAAAAAACCCGTAACGTGATTAGTTGACTAATTAAAGGTCATGAAGCAAAAATGATTTGAATGAATGACTGATTTCCTTCCTGTCTGGAATGATACATATTCACTACTGTTACCACTAAGTATCAGTATGACCTTGCAGCTTGCAGATTTTGATAAAAGGACCCCGTTTAAGACAAAACAAAAACGGGAATTTATCAAATTGTTACAAACCAACAGTGAGTTTGGGGATCTGAGACCATGGCAGTTGCGCAGTTGGCGTCATTACCGTCAGACATTATAAGGAAATGTTTAAGACCAACAAGTAGAAGCTGAGATAGTGACTTTTAGTTTGTACTAATGAGGGAAGCTCTAGACCCCATAACTCAACAGCGTCTTTCAGAACCCACTCTTCAAGTAATTCTGACTTTCTGGTAAAAATGTAAAGCGTTCAGCCAGGATGAGATAACCTGTTGGCCCATTATGAAGTCATCGAGGCCTTTTTACCAACGAGTCAAACTTGTTTCAGAGCTAGAAAATAAAAATGCAACAATTCTTCTTCTACAGCTCTTGGACTGTACTAGGGCAGCTTTGCATCTTTTACAGTTTGAAGTAATGCTTATTTCTTTTTTGCTGAGCCTGGTCATAGCCTAGTCGACCTGCCTTCATTTCCCCCTTGATTGGCTGCCAGGAGGCTCGAACAACGACTAGGTGAGGTTGCTTTGCTCACAGCCAAAGCTGTGACATCATGCAGAGCCAAGAGTTACGTGGTATTTAGAACCGCCTGAAGCCTTGGCCTTTGGCTCACAGCGATTAGTCGTGCGTACACTTACCTCATTCATTTGAAATTTTGTCCATGTTTATCGTGAGAAAATCTGAATTTGGACCCCCCCCCCCAAAAAAAACCAAAGCAAACAAACAAACAAAAATCCTAACAATAGCTTCTTTATTCATTACTCATTTCCACCTGTGGTCCTGAGACTGGTTTGCCATCCAGGAGTCTTGAAATGAATACTGGGAGTGGATGGGTAAGAGGAAGCTGTTTTATTCATGTAACATCTTGACTGATCTGACAGAACAGGTTGCAATATCCACCAAATCCCTCTAAGAAGACAGAGGCAATCTACAGAAGAGTACGACTAACAGCCATCCACCACCAGACAGAACTAGAGAAGCCACACACCACACCCAGAAACCCTGCAAGCTCCATCACCAGCAAGACCTGCACCCTACGAGGTAGGAAGAGGCAGAAGAGGACGAGGCACAGACCCATAGAGTTACCTGCCAGCTTCCCAGCCACTCCCATCTCCCAAAGACAACGCCCCCAGCTCTAAACCACAGAGGGGTAGGGTGGGGGATGGGGGCACTGAAAAAGTGAGAAGTGGGTAGGAGGAGATGATGAGGAGGGGGAGAGGAAGGGGTTGGGGCGATCAGGGGGGGATCGGGAGCTGGGTTGGTCTCACCTGGTCTCACTCCCGCCAGCATTGGCAGTGGGTGGTGGGTGAACGCCATGCGGGGGGACCTCGTCTGGGAGGACAGGGCGCTGAAATCGAATTTCCCCGGCTTCTTAAGTGAACCAGGCGACGAGAGTCCTGGCAAAAAGGGGATCAACAAAATGGCAGAACAGAGACGAGGTTTTAATCAAACATGGCTCCTTTTCTTACTTTGACTCTACTCAAAAAAAGAAAAAGAAATTTATCAGACTTTGTCAGATTTGATTACAAGAATCAAATGATTATGATCGACTGAAATCAATGGATTGATCGACTGATTCATTCATTGATTTGTTTGATTGGCTTAACATACAGATGGGTCCTCACAACCTGTCTATTCTGTGTCTGTACAGTCAGCGGGCTGTACCGTGTCTGGGGGCTGAGGGCAGGGTCCGGTGAGAGGCCATGGTTCGAAGCAGCGGGGGTTCAGAGCAAAGGGAGGTGACGGGAGAGGGGAAGGGGTGGGTCGGGTTCAGGTCGAGAGGCTGGGGGCACAGCGTCAGGACAGAGGAGAGCTGGGAAATGCAATAGCAGTTCAACTATGGTCACCACTGAGTGTATGAACAACACAGCAATCCCCCTGCTTACTTTAACCACTGAAATCTAATCAAACGGTCTCCTTTGTGAGGCGCAAACTACCCGACTAATCCCACACGACAACGCTCTCAGAGCCCGGCGTCGCTACAGAGAACTTCAGGAACGCAGTCAACAAACATGCCAACCAACCTACTCACTGCACTTGTCAGGATGCCTCTTTAGAATGAATGGGATTCTGGATGGCCTCATATCTGGGGCAGACTGTGCTTTCGATTCAATGCCAGCATGAGCTGTGCAACTACATATAGCTGCAGACGAGCATGCCAGAACATACATCAATGGATCCTCTGATGTAGTGCCCTTCTGCATATCTGACTGTCAGGTATTTTATGTTACTGACTTATAGTATTTCATAAAGACGTGCTTGAACTTATATACACACACACACAGACGCGCGCACACACACAAGCTGCTCAGGCTGGGTGGTAAGCACCGGGCGAACTGCCAGTAAAGGCTAGATGGGAGAGCTGTAGAAAGATGGAAGAAGTTAAGCAGGAGCGGAGCGGTGACGGCATGGCCGGCACACAGACAAACATATTAAAGTGTCCCCCCTTGTCTATAAATGTCGGCCGAGGCTAAAAGCCTGCATGAAATATCCCTTAGTTTGGCAAAAAGGGGCACACAAAGTATAGGCCCAGCTCACCAGCGGACCAGAAACATGGCCAAAAGTGTGAGAGCTACAGATAAAAGAGGCTCTCTTCTGTGATCAAGGCCTTGTGTGGTGGGTGCTGAGGGAATTTATTTTGATGTATGGTAATCCAAAGGCACAATTTAGACTTTCTGGGTTTGAGGAACGGTGCCAAATGGTGTATCTGACCTCTGCGTGGAACCGCAATGTTGAATATAAGCTGAAATAAAACTCTGGAAAGAAAAAAATCCATAAAACAGAGAATAATGAGGAAGTTAAAGTACAGAAAAGTACATCAGCATGGACACACAGACCTCATTACTTTTCTCTGGAACATGCGGAGCTCGTGTTTTGCTTCTCATTTGGTTGAAAGAATAGAGCGATAAACAACCTTGGCGAGAAGGACGCCCGTAAACTACTAAGCGACACAATATTCACACATATAAAACAAACACACTCGAATAAAGACGTGGATAATTTCAACACGGCCCGAGAGATGTGGAAATAGATTTTATGAGCTGAGCTTATAAAGTCTAACACAGCAGATTTCTAAACAGCTTTTTCTTAAATGCTAAACTGGGAAATGTTTTATCACTATTTAGCCACAATGCTCACAGGCACCACGGGTGCAGCTGTGCTTGTGTGGGCACCTATAAGCACAGAAAAAGGTGGGCGCTGGCACTTATGTTCAGATAGGCACGTCACGTGACTTCACGAGTAGGTGGGAGGAGACACGGCGAGGAGGGTGAGATGCACTTTATTCACCGATAGATTTACGAGACAAATATCATCCATCTGGTGATGCTTTCCTGGGGGCATATTACAACCAATTTACAGCTAGTACAGTAAAGCTGCAATCTACTGTTAACAGACTGTGGAATATTCAGCAATCAGCCAGAACTTTCAAATCACTGGCAAGTGAAGTGAGTAACATTTATAATGCCATTAAAATGTAATATTATGCTGGAAACTTTGGATGATGTCATCCATGTGGCTGTTACTTTGACATGCATTACCCACCACGACGTTGATCCAGACCAAGCCCACCCTTTCCCTCGTGATGACTACTGTACTCCCTGCTGGCAGGCAGCATGCCTGCCAAACTCCTCACGAATGGCTCAAGAAACGTAAGCGCTCAAATTTTCAAGCCTCCAAAGTCTTAAAATTGTAATATGACAGAGCATCACAGCACCCAATGAGGCCCCCTGTCCATACCCCAACAGGTCAGAGCTGTTTGGCATGTTAGGCAGATGGTTTTAGTTTTGTGGCAAACCTCAAGGATGTACCCGATGATGAGCGGTGCTCAGGAGACGTGCAGAATCAATCAGGCTCTGGAGTATCTTTGAAGGAGTCGAGACCACAGATACGGCTCCATGTTCAGATTTTTTTTATTTGAGGGTTTAAATTGCAATAAAATACTATTTGGGAGTATCAGGGATGTCACTGTCGTAGCACCGTGAGCATGTGTCTTTTTTATTTCACACATCAAATGAGCAGCTGCGCAGGACTTGTTGCAGCAGCAACCTGAAAGCAGCTGACCACCACAAACAGCAGCGTTTCTGTTTTGATGCAATTTTCATTTTTATTATCCTTTGAAAACGTCTCCCATCGAGGCATTTCACGATTGGTTTCAACGTGATGGAAATAAAAGGACATGATTTGCCTCATTTTGACTAATATCTGATACTTGTGGGCATTTTTGTGTAGATGCAAGTTTAAATAATGGTTTTAGCAGGGCTGTCTCGTCACAGGTTATCTGCAGCCATGTTCAGCTGAACGGGTTAAACAGGGATGGCTCTCTGTAGATCAGCTCTAGTCTTTGGCTGGAAGTCTTAGAAAATGTTCATTTCTCTGGTTCTGCATTGGTTTAGCTAACTTTATAAAATGAATTTGTAACTTCTGAGTTCTTCAACTTTCTCCCTACACACACACACACACACACACACACACACATGAAAAGACATAATTTAAATGCCGTTAAAGCCACAGAGACTGAATGTAAACATGCTGTGTATTCAATGCGTCCCTGCAGCAAAGCCTGTTTGGCTGCAGTTCCTCTGTTGGACGTATAGGCAAGACTCTGTGCTGCCACATCCCAACTTTAATTATAACCAGCTTATTATGCACAAACAGCCTTAAATTATACATATTGTTTTTAGTCTCTGTGATATTCCCTAATTAGTCGCTATCTTGCTGAAATATCTATCTATGCGGCTTCTCAGTGAGGAGCAGCAAATGAGGCCCAGATGCCCAATGAAAGCTTTGTCTGATAAAGCTAACAGAAGTTACTCTGATCTCTCTCTTAATCTGTGCGTGAGAGAGCGCGTGTGTGTCTGCACATATGCACGCACGCACACATACACAGTTGTTTGTTCTACGTTATTTCTGTGTCCTGCTCCTGGCACGCTGCGCTAACAGACTGGCAGCCAATTGCTCCCATGACCCTGTAGTCTTGCCATGCTAACAAGCTGGCGACCACACAAACCCCCTAACTGTCACAGAACTGGTCCACTAGCATGTGCGCGCGCACAACAGAGACAGATCTCGTGCACTCCTCGTTCAGGTAAGCGAGGAACAACAGTGTACATCAGCAGAGCAAAGCACCTCATTATACTCGCTGCCACGCGCAACATTAGCGCTCGTAAACACTAAGATTCAGCGCAAGGACACCTCCGCAAGACAGCCACACACATGACGATTTAATGCCCAGATAATTAGCTTGTAATCTCTGTCAAAATCACAAATACACGGGAAACCCACCCCCTCCTTCCCTTACTGAAAGGCTGATAGTGGGCTTTCCCACCACTGAGCAGCAGCAGCAAGCAGGCAGAAGGAGAGAGCGGAGCAGAGCTGAGCGGGAGACAGCGGACTTAATGATGAATTACATGATCACCTGCTATGCCTCAGAGCTTTTCATTCAGGTAGAGAATCACCTTCTGAGCACGCAGAGGCGGAGACTCTCCCCTTTCCTTCCCCCCACCCCCCTCCCCCTGTCCTCCGCCCCTCTTCTCCTCTCCACATCTCTCACTCCCAACACCACCACCACCATCACCAGAACAGATGTCTGCTGTAACCCAGTAGCTCCCTTCGCTGTAGACACATGGAGGCGCCATCTGGACCGGAACGCTGCTCCTCTCCAGATTGGGGAGCGTGCTTATGTGTGTGTGAATGTAAATCAGAGAAGGCGCTTAAATTTAGTTTTCTGTGCGCGTACGCATGTGTCTGCATGTCATTTGTAAATGTGCGCGTTAGTGAGTAAGCATGTCTCGCAGACAGAAGGCGCCTTGTGCATTGATGACACACCTGAGTGCCTTTAGTCTTGTTTGTTTGGGTCGTATGTTGTTTTTCCTGCGCTGTCTTTCAGAGATGGTTGAGTCAGGCCTACAGCAGGTGGGACGCCACTCAACAGCTCTGTCTAAACAACCGGCAGGACGAAGCAGCAAACCCCCATTCACACACCCCGCTCCTCCTTCTTTGTGTCTTTCAGCGCTCGCTTTCTCTCTCCGGGCTCAACAACAAAATTACAACACCCAAGGCACTCAGCTGAACGCCGCTGACAAACTCATACCACCTCGCAAACTCGGTTTGCAGTTTTTCAGATATGATAATGCACCTAATTGCATATGTAGACTAGGGTTTACATCAGTATAAGAGCATTCAGACATGTTCTCAATGCCACAGAGACGTCTTTATCCTTCTAGACATCACATTTCTTTCACAGATTTACATCTTTAAGGCAGACAGGCGGAAGATGTTATGGAGCTACTGGGCTACCAAAAGGCTTTGGTGAACCCACAATGGACAACAGCAGACATCTGGTAGAAACACAACCCCACCCAGCAGCAGCATAGCCAGAGAACAGGACACAAACAGAGGGATGAAGAGAAGAGCGGGACAAATGAAAAATAACCCAGATTCGCTCTGAGAGCTCACAGATTTGAAGAAAGGACAGAAAGAGATGTACACAAGCTGAGGGTGGTGTGAGCGGAGGTAGAGCATGTATACATGAACACAGTATAATGTTTAATGTTGTTCTAACCATGGTAAGGAAACTGCACTCCATCGCTCTCATGCTTAATCTTCCTCTCCTGCACACTGGCCAAATGGTGCTGCACTGAAAGGCCAAACAGGGGAGAAGGGAAGAGTTAACAATGGAAGAGGGGAGGAGAGAAAAAGAGACATCGAAAGAGATGGAAAGAATGAGAGAGAGAGAAACAGGGCTGGTTAAATAATAGACAATAGGGGATTTTAATGTTATAGAGTGCAGCAAGTGTCTATAAAATAGTTACATCATTACTGTTGGCAGTATTAAAATGGCAGCATGTGAGTGGGAGGGACGGAGAATACATGAAAATTTAGCAATTTAACAAAATCCCCAAAGCCAAATACGACACCCAAGAGATATATGTTAAGTCTATTGAAAATACATTTGACGTGATCACCATCATGATGGTTGACAGTGCGGTTACCCAAAGAGTGAGTGGCTATGACTTCAGCATGTGAATGGGTGGTTGGAGTAGTGCCGCTCAGGATTTTGGTGTAACTTTTAGGTATCTGGACAATACTCAAAAATTAGAAATTCAACATTTTGGGAAATAAGCAAAATACTGGTAAAACTGGTGGCCTTCTGATGTCTGTATTACAAGTCAGCATTGAAGCAGCCAGCTCCTGGTTAGCTTAATGTTGTCTCAGTAAAAAATAAATAGATAAAAGAACAGCTAGCTCGGCTCTAGTCAACCAACAGCTCTGAGATTCACAAATGAATATAAAGAAACAAAAACAGAGAGAAGAGCAATTTGCCCTCATGGCCCTTTACAAGCCAGTTAGCCTATCACAAAACAAAGAACAAACACTTATTCTCATTTAATAACCTCGAGATAAACTGAAGCAAGAAACACAATGGTGTCACGTGACAGTAGCCCATCAGTCACATGACCAATTAGTCTCTGCACTGCATTAGCTAACTGGCTGCTAGCACAGCTTCCTCTTTGCTGTGCAATAATGTAAATTGCTGTATTTCCCAAAATCTCAAAGTACTCCTTAGGAACACCACATGCAACATTACAGTCATTACAGTGGGTTTACTTTAAGTTAGATTTGTAAAGGACTCGGTTACACCCACTTGATAAAACAAAGTTTAGCAGATGATGTTTGTGTTTCGCAGTCTAATGCGCGACACTCGCACACACGTGCACTCAGTCCTGGAGGTGAGCTTAATAGATGTTAGCTCTAATGCCGTAAAAACTAAATGTGTCCATCTCTGCAGCTATTCTCACAGTCAGACAACAAACACTAGACAGCAGGCTATCCTCGGTTTGTGGTCTGATTGAAGGGGCAGTTCAGCCAGAACAAAAAGTTTTTTCTGTCTTTTATCCAATAGCTTCAGGATCAGCTTTCTTTCTGTATCCCATCACAACAGTGGTGTGATGTACAGAAACCTTGTTTGTTTTGAAGAACTGGTACTGGAAAGACATTTTTCCTATTTCCAAACACAATTTTCAAATGCATTAAGCATTAGATGATGGCAGAATTTCCAGCGATGGAAATAAAAGACCTTGAAATTTCTGCAAATTCCCCCGAATCTCTACAAACTGTTTAGAGTAACTGAGAAAATGTGTTTTTTACTGGCTCTTTAAGTCCCTGCTGTATGTGAGAAATGATGCTTTGGTGGGGGGTCCATTTAGGTATGGCATATAAGAGGATTAGAAGTTGAAAATGAAAGATGGTGCAAGTGGGGATGATGAGGGGGGGCGAGTATTGAAGAGTCAAAATAGATGCAAGCGGGTATGATGGTGAAACATAATTAGCTTTAGCTTCTGGTCCATGTCAAGTCAGGAATTTAATATTTGTGGGACACTTGTGGGAAATACATCTTTTTGCCTCGTTGCTGAGAGTTATTTAGAGCGTTACCATTCTAATAGCTGCACAGTAAGTATGAGCAAAACACAGCAGGAAGTGGAGGGGCTAGTTTGGGCTTTGTCACATATGCACTGTTAGGAGGAGACGATCATATTAAACATGGCTGTCTCAAATAACGAAGTCAGTGCCCAAACCTTCTGTTTATAAATCAGGAGAAAGGCGGCTTGCCTCATAATGTGAACGAACTGGGCGCTGCACCAAGGCCTAGATAACATCCGATAATAATGCTCATTTTGATGACCTCAGCTAGCAGTGAAACCTTTTGCTGAAACCAGACTGCTTGTTTCCCTCTTTTTAAAGTTACGCTAAGCTGACCAGCTGCTGCTTGCTTCTTGTTTACTCTACAGACATTACAATAGTATCAAACTACAGAAGCTAAACGTATTTCCCCAAATGTCAAATTGTTCTTTTAAGGCTTTACGATTCAAGGTGAAGCCAGTGTTTAAAGTTTGCCTCTGAATTGATGTGGACCTCAGCACAGTTTCTGGATTGCGTGCAAAATCTGATGCAGCAGTTGCAGCGGGACTACCTGCATCCACATCATTAGGCCAGCCGCTGGACTGAGAGCTGCTGCCAGCCGCTGGGGAACGGCCCGAGTAGAAGACATCATCCACTGGGCTCTCCATCTCACTGTCGTCAATGGACTTGCGCTTGTTGGAGCTGGGAGAGGAAGGAGAGAGATTAGTAAAAGGGATTCATTATGAGAGCAATCTGAAGCAGGCCAGGGTTTCCCACTAAAATAAATAGGCACAACTAATTAGTACAGGGGACACTGATAAATGTCATATCATCTTAAATCAAGGGAAATGAAACAAAGTCACCTTTTCTCTTCAGTTGTCTACATTTTGTTTTCATATTATGTTACAGTCTTAAGGGACAAAGCAGCATAATTGGAGACAAACAAACACGAGGCCAGAATTTGAACAACATGCTGTGTCCACGCCGGCTCAAAGCAGCCGCGCGCTAGAAACTGCAAGCAGAAAGTGTGCCTGGTGATGTCGGAGCCTATTTTTGTGTGTGTTTGCACATTCCTACAAACGCACACATCTGTGACCAATAAAATAAAAGGGGCTGTGAACGTACAGCGTGTGCGTATACGTGGGACAGCATGCGTGTGGCTTTTGTGTGATGCAGGGGTCTGTGCTACATTAGTATCAAGGGAGATATTCTGTAATGAGTGTAACTACCTCCGTGGGAGACTTGCATAAAGCTCCATTTCAGTCCTGCAGCGTAAGATGAGCGGGAGAGGACGGCAGAGGAGAGGGAAACAGACACAAACAAGGAACGGGTGACAGACAGATCGGTGGGAAATATGAGTGGGGACGAGGAGGGTTAGTGACGAGGAAGGAGAGAGAAAGATCACGATCAAAAAGCAGAGCAGGCTAAGCATTAGGAAACACAGTACAGAGGTTGGAGAATGAAGAATAGCAAGTGGCAGAATTAGATTTAGAAGGAGCGTTTCGAGTGCTTGGTGTGTACCTGGTGGAGGGGGTGGAGGTGATCGAGCGCCGCCCCAGGGTCACCTGGTTGATGTTGTAATAGCCGGGGCTGTCCAGGTCAGCCAGAGAGAAGTTGGGGCCTGTCGCTGTAGCCACAGGGGCTGAGGGGATGCACACAGAGGAAACGAGAGAAAAGAGACACATCATAGAAAAAAAGTAGAATTAAAAGCTGAAAGTGTGAGAGAGCCGTCGACTGCAGAAACAGTTCTTTGTTTAAGCTTCGCAGAAGATGATTCCTGATAACTCTGACGTTTCAGTAGCACTACAAATGTACTCATTTCAAAGTCTCTATAGCCTTACTAGTCCATTTTTGGAGACACTGACACGATTATGTTTACAGGACTTTGCTAAACTTCTATTCAACCTCGTAGGACCTGGTGTCCACATATGGGAACATCACATTTTGGGTTGTCTGGACCAGCGGCCCCCAACCTTTAAGTTTCCCCAACCACAGACCGCTTTATGTCTGACCTTTAAGATGTCGCAGATAAATACAACAAAATAAAACCAGTAGAGCTACCACAAAAAAAGATTAATTCATGACACACAGGACACTGAGTTAATGATAAACATGATAACAAAATAATGATAAAACCCTGAAGACCATAAATTTCACACTCGAGCCTCAACTCTCGGGGCCGGCACCAAACGACCCACGGACTGGTCCTGGTGCGTGGCCCGGGGGCTGGGGGCGGCTGGTCTAGACCGCAATACTAAATTTTGCTCTTTCAAAATTTGTTGTTTCTCATTTTGTTTGTGTACTCAGGAAAATGCTGCTGTGTTCAGTTTTGCACATCATTCCTCAAATGTGACTTTTAGCGTTCTATCAAACACCATCGAGCCAAATAGCAAAGAGGAATTCAAAACGCACGTTCGGATCTTAGCAGGTTAACGTACGAGTGATATAATTATGCAAATTAATCCAGCTACTCAAAACTACTAGTTATACTAGGTTATAGAGTAATATACTTATAATAACATAAGTAACTATATACTAAGAATGAGAGGTGACAGTGGTTGACTCACTCTGCGACACACGGACCAGCTCGGCTACGTTCCACACACCCGAAGTAACAAAGCAGTCCTGGAAACTCAAGTTGCCTGGTTAAAGGGAGAAAGAGACATTTGTGAGTTACACTCTGAATGCACACACACACACACACACACACACACACACACACACACACACACACACACACACACTCAGAAAGAGGCTGAAAAACACGTGTGGAAAGGCCTGACACACTGTGGTGTCATCCACTGGGCCCATGTGTTTTCTATAAGGTACAACAGGCCTTTGGTTTGGACGTGTTCACTTTCTTGACTGTTGACAGTCCAACATACACAACCAATCAGATCCAACAAGCGGCTGTAATCTCCACACAGACAGCTATGTAATGGATGATGCGCTGCGCATTGCGATCTTCATGTATGTATCATGCGCACGCATAATAAAGTGCACATGTTTAATAAGAGGTACTGGAACACTGATATACACACGTCCTCGCACATCTGTCCTTTCAGTCTGTTGAGACTGTAACCAAAACCTTGATTATAACTTGTGTTGAAGTTTCACAACTACAGTCATCATTTCTTCTCAGTCGACTACACTGCGCTGTAGCCTGTGATGGGTTTTGTCAGTGGAACATTTTCTTAACAGTTCTTAGCTTCAACGTTACGATCATCTGACTGCTTGTCAGCTGTGTTAGTTTCCAGCACCGTGTCGCTTTTATCGACAATAACACGTATGAACAATACTCGACTTCAAATGAGCTACAACAAACCCTCGATGCTTGCTGCCTGACGATTGACCAATATGCTGACCCTTGGCATAAATCCTAAATCTAACATTTTAGCCATCAACTCTTGATTTTGAGCACAAAGGCCTAAAAAGAGAAAAACAAACAAAAGAAACAAAATACTGTAAGATGCAAAATCACTTTAAGCTAGCAACGAGCCAGACAGCAGAACGTGCAGATAAATATGCAGCTAACATAATAAACTGGACTGATATTTGTCAGGTGTCTAGAAACCTGATGACTGATAATGTTCTGGTATCAGCTGACAACAGGTAAGAACCTTGTTTTCACATAAGGAGCTTCATAAAAGGCTTTAAAAAAGGCTTTTATGAAGCTTAGTGAACTCACCTGATCTGTGATTCTTATTTTATTTCAACTGAATGTAAACAGCGAGGTAAGTGAATCGTCTACACACGAAACACACCGTCACAGGTGAAAATGGTACAAACAAATGAAATGTGCTGCATTCTGAACTTCTGTTCCCCAAGTAAAGTTTAAGTATGCGACACTATGTTGTCCATGTCGTATTACGCTGTGTGTAAAGCGGATCGCTTTATGGCTCCGGGGCCGAATCCATTTTAAATCCACACCCTTCTCTCCCCCTTCCCTCTGTCTGTCCATCACTCCCCCCCACGCCTTCTCCCTTCGCCTCTCATTCTTTCATTCAGTTCTTTTCAGCCCTCCTTATTTCTTCTCCTCTCGCTCCTTCACTCCATCCCTGCCCGGGGTTAACCACAGCGGGGAGAGCGCATGAGGTCAGCGCTCAGCTTCGGCAGCGGCCATGTGGTTCCCATCTTCCAATAACGTCAGTGTGATTTATGAGCGGCCTGCCACAAACCCAGCACAGCCCCCACGCTACAGCACCATCAGCTCGCCTTACCATAATAAACTTAGATCCAACTCTGCTGGGACGCACTTGCACAGGCACAGAGGCATTCCACATATGGGCTAATGCACATACATGTGCATGCATGACTGTATAGGTGTGACTGCGTGCAGGCACAGGTATGTTTTTTAATAATTGCACATGTAGAGTGAGATTAATGGAACGTGCACTTGTAAACCTACCGTTTGGTGGGGGCTTCACATCTGTGTCTCCTTGCTGGTTTGAGTTGTCTGATTGTCCTGATTGTTCTGCAGAGAGAGAGAAAAAGAAAGAAAGATGGTGAGTCAGGTGGACAGATGTCTGGACACTGACCAAGGTGAGGGGGCAGGTAAAGAACAGAGGAGTCTCCTGAGAAACTATATGGTAAACTCTTTTCACTGACAACGGGCAGACGTGTTGCGATTAAAAAGGCAGATATTTGCACTCGGTCGAGGCTCAGAGTACCGTTAGTAGATTCTTATCTGGTCATTATCGTACTCACAGCCTTAGTGTATGTTTGGTAAAGTGCTACAAATCCCCCAAAACATTTTTAATGCCAACAATTAACTCAGCGTACGTGTAATTTCTGGGTATTGATGCACCGTCTTTGCCATTTTTTGGAAGACCTTCTAAAATATAGAATCTGAATACAGTGTAAACTGGCTCAAGTGTTCCTAAGAAACAAACCTCTGCTTCTGAGTCGCGGTTTTGAACGTGTGCGTTCCTGTATTCTGGGTACTGCTGTGTATAACTCAACTGTTTTTGTATCTTTGTTTCTTGCAATTACTCAAACTCACCATTCATGTTGGGCAGAGTGCTAATGGTCCCAAGAACTTTTAGAAATGCATCATTTGGAGTTGAATCACCTTAAAAAATCTTTTCTCTCTTTGTGTACCTAACTTTTCGGCGCTTGAATGTTTGCATGTGCACACAGCTACAAACACTAGGTAAAAAAGTTAGGTAAAGTGACAGATGTGTCACCTCAACAGCCCACGCTGACTAGTCAAATGTGCACTTTGTCTGGATTGCATCTCCTGCATTGCTTCCATCTATAGGGACACGAAGGCGCTCAGAGAGTCGTCTGCTTCAGCTGCTTTTCTTTGGCTCGCTGGCTGCCATTCTTCTTCGGATGTGTAATGCACCCTTGTGGAGTTTTATGGTTGTATCATATATACCATTCAGGCCAATTACTCCAAAGCACTTAGCCTTTAAGGGCGTCTTGGGCCAAGACTCCCAATCCAAAACGTGGCCCCCTTGCAGCCACTACTAGGCCCCCCAATCTCAACATCTTCTAAACCCAAATCAGTGTCCTAATCTTGGGTGGCAGTGTTGCGTTACGTGCCAGCAAACTGGTGCACTATTCACCCAGTCGGTCGCGTGCCAAAAGCAGGAAAACAAAAAGAAACCCAAAGCACCTCATCGCTCTGGGAAGAGGGAAACACGAGGAAGAGCTTCTTTTCTTTCCTTCTCGCAACACTCGTCCTTCATTCTGCACAAGAGCCCATCTTCAGGTCTTTCTCCCTCAGTTCCTCTCACATTGGTTTTGTCTCTTTCTCTCTTGCGCGCTGTCGCTCTGTGGAATCCTGGCAGCCATCTTAGCGCTTGGCAGCCATCTTAGCTTTGGCGGTACCCATGCATTCCTGCTAGCTGACGGCACACCCACACACACACACACACACACAGAAATAGACACACATGCTTGCAAAGCACACTCACTCTCAAACACAGCCCCAGTGGTCTTAAAGATAAAAAGACCTACGGAGGACGTGCGACGCTGATGGAGTACAGGGACGCTTGTTTACAATCCTGTGAGTATCCTGTCGCCTATGCTAATAGGCCGTTAGAGTTCGACAGCTGATCACAAATGTCAGACGCACTCGTAAAGCGACAGGAAGTGTGCAAAGGGCAACACAAAGAGAGTCCTCCAAGGTAAACGAGGCGATGTTTGGAGGAAGCCTGAGGCCTTTCTCATCGCTGCAGCGCTCATCCCGACAAACCCTCAGCAAACAGTCAAAACCTCTGAAACCCGCGTGCCTCAGAAAAATCTCTTGCCCTGTGTGACAGCATCCAAGCCAAAATTCACTGCCTTGTTGTCATGACAACGTGGATGGCACACCACAGTCCCTAATGATGAGTGGTTGTTGAAGCCTGTGTGTGCATATGTGTCGCTGTTTGGCCTGGCAATTAGTTCGAATGAAGATAATAATATAGCTTCCTGGCATGCGCTCACTGTGTTGTTTTGTTTAAGTATCTCTTGGCACAACGCAGAGCGGTGGCCGCACAGCCACTCTGTCACACGCCTGCTTTACTGTATCAGGAGTTCTTCTGTTTAACTCTCCAGGCTCGGCTTTGAGAACTTTCCTGTTTCTCTTGTTAAATCACAGCGACATATACGCCGAATTTCAAATGTAAATGAAGTGATTGCAACTACAATACAAGTTCTCAAACTTTAAACTGCTTTTGAGGGTTTCCAGCAAATGAAGGGTGGCTTTCTATCCTTAAAACTTGTGCAATGTTTAACAACAGTTAGCAAATGAACCAAGGTTATCCTATCACTGTGCTTCATTTGCACCAGGAGGTTTCTTCCTGTCAAAAGGGAGTTTTTCCTTCCCACTGCCACCAAGTGCTTGCTCATAGGGGGTCATGTGATTATTAGGCTTTCTTTCTAACATTGTACAATGTTAAGCACCTCAAACTGACTGTTTTTTGTGAATTGGCGCTACATGAATAAAATAATTATAATAAAAGGAATTGTATTCAAGGCTGAAAGTTGGAAAATGAAGAAAAATGTTGTTTGACAGACTCTTTAAGACCACGTGCCCACATCGGAGAGAAAAATAACTGTCAATTCTCTCTGCTAGCAAAAAGCTGCAAAGTGACTGATAGCACATGTGTGGTTGGACGCCCTACCAACACACTAAGGAACCCATAACCAAGGATGTTTTCACAACTTCACTGTTTAGCCCATTTGAGCTGACCCCTGTTTTTTTCCTCCCTTGGTGCAGGTTGTTTCTGCCAACATGAACGTAGTCATCGTACTCTGATTCGGACCAAAGCAAACGCCCTTTGGAGGAGGTGCAAACCTCAGAGCTTTTAATAATCAAATTAATCTGACCCAACGACCAGCTGTGCGCTGCAAGTTTGAGCTAAATGCCGTCCCATAGTCAGGCATGCTTTGCATTCTGTGACATACTAAACACAGACATGTGGAGTGCCTACTGTAGTATCTGTTGTTCCTGAAATATCTCATACCTAAGCAGGCCGGACGTCCTCAGCTGGTTTATTGTAACGCACTTTTGCACTACTGGAGTTTGCTTGAAGGCTACAACTTTGCTAAGTCATTAACTGTTTCGGGCCACAGTAAACAAAGTATGGATAAGACAAAAAATGTCTTTAGTGTTTAATTAACTTCTGAACAAAAGAAATGAGCACTTTAGGAGATGTGAGCAAGATGAACTACAGGAAAACACTGACAGGTGTAGCATTCGCGCTGTCACTAATAAATCAAATATGAGGTTTGTGCTACTATATTTCTATAAGCCAAAGTCAGTGTTACACTGGAAGGTGGATCATTCAGGAGGATTTGGATAACGTACAGCAGCTTTTAGCACATGGCTAATATTATCTAACAGCTAAGTAGATACAGCCAAAATAAACTTTTTAAAAGTGTAATATTTTAGTCAGCCAGAGGATTTTAGCAGCGTTTCGGCCTCCAGTTACATAACGCGGGAAATAAAGATCTAAAAATAATGTATGAATATATATTTTATGGCAGGTTTGCTAACATTTCTTATGTTTACAGTACACACAGACATACTAGCAGGTTAATATCCTGGATCTAGTGGCATTCTTGATTTTTGTGTAAAGCAGCTATAAAAAACAATCCCACTCTGTAAGACGTTATGGAAAAAACGTTCATGTCTCACTAAGTTTTGGTTCAATTTGATTCTTGCCTAATTTCCCGTTTGTGTATTTGCATAATTATGTGTCATTCCCATGCTCTGCTTAGTTCAATAAAGCAAAAATGTCTTTGTCTGATATTAATTTAACGCACAAACGCACTTCACAATATGTATGTGCTTGTATGTTTTATGTGCTTTCATTCTTACACGTGCACGTGTATGGATGGAGTGTAATCCGTGGCACGGTGACAAGCATGCATCTATATTTACATACATTGTGTGGGTGCACAATAGGTGCCCAAAGGTGCCTCTACAGGAGTACAGTAAGGAGGGGGTGTGATGCCCTTAAAGAAAGAAGACGCTCTACGCTCCTGGTAAACAATAGCAGTTGTGTATTATTATATAGTCATATAAGACCACCGTGCAGGGAGAAATCACTGCCAGCAGGCCTCCCATCCCCACTGCAACATTTGTGTGCGCCCACACCTATGACACGCAGAGGAGCACATGTGACCGCTTTTATTAACGTGTTGGTTCAAGTGCTCGGATGTGCACACTCCAAACATGGATGCACATGCCTCCAAAGCACAAACATGCTCATACACACACAAAAACACAACATTCAAACACAGATGAATCACCCTTATCTCCTGCACACAGTCGCCCCAAGGCCCCCTGCACACACCCCGCTAGAGATAACACACACACAGGCCATCTAATACACCATGCTATCGCTCTAATCGCCAACATGCACACACACATTTCACTTTGTTTCCTGCTCAACATACAGTACGATTATTGCTAATGTACTCCAGTAGAGTCTATGTAAAAGTTAACACTGGCTATACATTTGTCACACTGCAGACGCAGACTAACTCACACCCAGGCTAATGTGCACACACTCAGAAACCACACTTGCACAATCGCTCCATTCATCATACACGTAAAAACAAAACGACACCACGCACGGATACACAATTACGCAATCTGGAATCATTAAGTGACACTTCAATGTAAAATCACATAGACGTGCTCCCCTCTTAGTGCGCAGGCAGCCGCTGCCAGCGCTAATGGACTCATTTACGACGTGCATATTCATATACGAGCGCACGCTGCACACTTTTTGCTAATTTACAGAACGGCTTAGAGTGTTTGTTTGTGCATCACAAGCACACGTGAGCAAACAGGCCCTCTGTAATCTAATGTGCACTAAGTGAGGGGGATTTTGCAGACTGATGAGAGACTATAAAGCTACCATCACCAGTCCAGCACTAGAGATAAAATATAACGTCCTTTGGATGTTAAACTCGAAGGTGATTGCAAATATTTCCATAAGCAAGTTATTGTAATAGTCAGTATTATCATCC